TAGCAGCCGAGTGCTTTAAGCACTGTGCCACCAGGGCTCCTTGCTGCACATCTGGATTGAATAGTGACAAGGCATAGCCCCTGCCTTGAAGGAGCTCACGCACCAGCTCTTGAGAGGCTGGTAGGAGTGATTGCACAGGCCCTGACTGCGGGGGAAATACGGGGGTGCTGGCAGCCCCGGAAGCTGGATGCGGTGGGTGGGGCTCCGGGAGCACTTCCGGGGGGACGTGAGATGAGCGGATGGATCTGGGTGGGCCTGGGCAGCCCAGGAGGGGCTGGGCGCGAGCTGTCCCGGAGGAGGAAGTTGGGTGCCGATGTGTAAACACCTGGGAGGAGCCGTGGGGATGACACTGAGTGGGAGCAGATGGCTGGGCCTCGTGGGTTGTGGGTCCCTGAGGGTCACTGGGGAGTGTCCTGGGATCGGGGACTCTAAACGGAGGGGCCAGGTCCGGGGAGGGTGGCGGATGGGGCACAGGACTGTAAGCGAGCCCACCAGGTGCCCCAGTGCTGAGCAGGGCAGACCCCCAGCAATCCGGGGGGTGGGGTGGGATTTGGGCTTCTCCTTCCCCACGGTCTGCGTTCTCTCCCACAGGTAGACCCCTACCTGCCCTACGAGTACACCTGTGAGGGGATGCTGGAGCGGATCCATGCCTACATCCAGCATCAGGTAGGGGGGCCCTGGGCCCCTCCCCCCGGGGATGCAGGGTAACACACCCATCAGAGGGGAGGAGAGGGCCAGCCAGCTCCACTATCCACAGTCCCCTCTGCCCAGAGCCTGTGTGCCCTGGACCGTTTAACTCTCCCTCCGTTATCCTATCCATCCCAGCTCTTCTCTCGGATCTCTGTCCACCCTGAGTGGTCAGTGTGGGGGTGGGCAGTACTGCTGGGGGACCAGGCCAGAGGGGCCCCAACTGATATCTCAGAGAAGAGGGATAGGCAAGGGGCAGACACTGTTGCAAACACTTGGTCCCCTCAACACCTGAATGCTTGTCCAGACAAACAGGGCCTGCCTTCCCTCCCTCCCTCCCCTCTGATGCTAGGAGGGGCTCGGATGCTTGGAGTGGGGAATGACCGGCCCCTATTCTGGAGAGCCCCATGGGCATCCTTTCCCAGAAGGCTTGGCCCAGATACGCTGCGCCCCAGCAGATCTGAGTTCTCAGTCTGGCTCCCAGGCTGTGGGGGCCCAGGTCTGCGGGGTGGTCCTTGGAGGTGGATTGATGTGGGGCCTTTGCAGACATTCAGTGTTGCCTGTATGGCCTCCCTGGCCCTGCTCCACAGATACCAGGACCTGAGAGTCTGGTCCCAGCCAGTCATCTTACTGATAGGAATACTCAGGCCTCAGAGGGAGGGGCTTGCTGAGGGTCAGCGTGTGTGTGGCAGGGCCAAGGCCGCCCCAGCCAGCCGCCAAACAAGTGTTTGCTGGGTCCTGCAGGGAGAGCCTCACAGTCCAGCCCCCCCCTTTGCCTCTTCGTGCCACACATGGGCAGTGCCCTGACCTTCGTCCATGAGTGACCCAGCCTCAAGGCAGCACAGGGTCTACAGAGGATGGATTCACACCTGTCCCTGCAGTGACCAGCCATGACACCCAGATCCTAGACCTCTCTGAACCTCTTTCCTCTCTGAAAGGTTTCTGGGGACATGTTAGTGCCCGTTGGGTGGGGCTGTTCAGAACAGATGAGCATGTCCACGAGACATTGAATAGTGACAAGGCATAGCACCCACCTGGCATTCAGTAAACGCCCT